AACCCACCTGTACCCCCCACCTCGCCTAGGAAGTGGTGGCGTCAATGGTCACACGCTCGTTGGCCTCAGACCATGCCCCTTGAGGCCAAAGATCAGAGGGAGCTGTGAGAGTTTGCGTTTGTTTCAAATATAGTTTCCAACGAGGAGCGCCTGGCTGTTTGTAAATGAAGTAGTCCCGCCACGCACTGCAGTTCTGTCCAACCACTGCGAAGTGCAGGGGGCTCTGGGGCCAGCTTCCCTCTGGAGCCCGTTCTAACCAGCGAGGTGACTGAACGGGGCACTTCCAGGGCTCTGTACCCAGGCCTAGCCGTGGAAAAGCCCATACTGCGGACTCGTCCCAAGGCTGTGCAGCAGGCCCACATGAGCTCACACGGCCGGTGTGTGGGCAGCACAGGGAGCCCTCACTGCGGACCTTTGCCCCAAGTGAATGAGTAACTTTGTCTCCTCGTTTGACTCTGCCTCTGGTTAGCTTTGGTCAGAAAGAGAATTTCTGAAACATCAAACGGAGTGGTAGTAACTGCACCCTTCTTCAACCCTACTCGATGTGGTTTGTTTCCGTTAAGCAAGGTCAGGAGGGCTTTTCAAAGATACAGTATTTCAAAGATACAGTTCACCACCATGGTATTTACCACCTAAACCTCTGAATAGATGCTCGTGCTCCGAACCGGAGTATTTTCTTAGTGTGCTCACGCTGCTTTTAAAGCTCAGAGACATCTTGGGCAGCAGTTTGGAAAACCATTCTTTGCAGGTCGCTCAGCAAAGTCAGGTCTGTGGCAGCAGGGAGTGGTGGAGGCGTGAACTCTGAGGTCTCCGCATCTGGGTTCAGGTTCTGTGGCCCTCAGCCACGTGAACTTCCTCACCCTGAATGCACCTCAGGTGCCACTCCCTGAGGCATCCGGCTGTGAAGGTCTATAAATCAAGCACACAGTCCGGCCTTTAAGTCACGCCCCTGCTCCCGCCTTCGTGCTCCGGTCAAGATCTGCCATTTCGCCAATGTGCTCAGGGCTTCAGGATTAAATTTCCAGCTCTTCCAAGTCTGCCTGGGCATGGAAAAGGCGGATCTCTATTTCACTGCCTCAGGGCGATATTCTGGAGGGATCCCAAGTGCAAGCAAGGTCTCTTCTCCCTTCAGGGAAGAGTCTGCATCCAAATCTGTACTTTTAGTCTGCCACCTGCCAGGCCCCTGGATTCTCCTGTTGTGCCCTGGAGGACAGGAAGGGAAACTGCAGGAGCGGCTGGTAAATGGCTGCTGGGCGGGAGTGAGTCTGCCTGCGAGGAGGTGACAGAGGCCGCAGCCTGCTGGGTGCCCAGCCCCGATGAAGGCAGCCAAGCCCGGGCAGTGCCCAGCTCCACGCCTTTCACTGCCCAGCACTGGGCACAGTTCCCGCTGCCCCAAATGGCAACTGATGCCCACGGTCACGAGTGGGCTCGGTCTGCCAAGGTGCTTGTTTGCACAGATTTAGACTCCAGAGGGGGAGCCGTGGTGAGGGTGAGATGGCACCAGGCTGTGTGCAGAGCCTGGGCACAGAATGCAGGAGCATGGGCCAGGTCACCTTGGCAACCTCTCCAGGACCAACCGAGAGCATGTCACAGCCTGGCGTGCTGCTGCCTGTGCCAGCAGAGCCTGTGCTCAGTGCCGGAGCCGGCCTGTGGATGCAGCCTCCTCACAGAAGGAGTGTGCTGTCAGGAGCTGCCTGGGGCCTGGGCTCCATCCTTCGGGGCTGCCTCCCGGCTGTGTGGCCTGCAGCACGATATCAACCTCACTCAGCTGCAGGGCTCTGGCTGCCAAAGGCAGACAATAATGGTACCAAGCTCAGGAGTTGTCAGAGGGTTGGGGCGATAATTGTGCATCTCCTGAAACCTTAAAAGCTCTTTTGCTGTTAGGTTGAATTCGATCCTCAGGGACTCTCTTTTCACTGTGAGCTGAGACGGACCACCCTTCTCCCAGAAAATCAAAGCCCTGGACACGTGGAAGAGCTTTCCTGATTTATGAGCATGTGTTATTGAACAGTCTTAAGAGGGTAAAAACATTCAAGTGAGTTTGGGTGGATCAGAGGAAACCCAAGACGCGGCACCAGCACAGCCTGCTTTGCCGCTGGCTCATTCTGGAAGAGGGCCCAAGCCCAGCGCAGGCCCGGGCATCCCCACAGCCCCCTTGGGCTGGAGTAGGAGCAGAGCCCAGCAGGCCCGGGCCAGGTCTGCCCCCGGCAGAGTCACACACGCACTCGGTCTGCGGCCGCCACTCCCGGTGTCGTGTGTGGCTGTTGCGGGTGTCCCGTGCCAGCCAGCATTCCTGCCTGCGTGGGGGAGCACAGCCGAGCCCTGGGGCTCACGAGATGCAGCCTGCAGTCGGCTCTGCTCTGTCCCAGGTCCCAGCCACGATCTAGTGGAGCACCTGTCCCGGAGCTGTCACTCCACCTGCAGCTGCTGCCCGGCCCCGCTTCCCGCGAGGCTCCCCAGCCACTGCGGACAGCATCACCCACCAGCTGGGAGGCCGCTCAGTGGCAGGTGGTGATGAAAGAGCAGCCAGGTCCAGGACTCTCCTTGTGGTGCTCGGGAGGTGCCAGCCATTCTGGGCCTCAGTTTCCCCTCTACATCTTCGATGCCCCTTATGGCTGTCAAGCTGAGAACGGTTCTGATTTCTCAGAGAAGCCAGCGCCCTCCCCATATGCACCTCCCTCTCCTCAAGGAGTCAGCGTGGCCACTGACTGGCCACTCCTCTGGCACCGACTCGGGCTGATGAGCACTGAGGGGAGCACTGCGGAGCCATGAAGGACGCAGCACTGTGGGACCCTCCAGGACCCGCGGCCTGGCTGAGCGCACGCCAGGGGTGGAGACAGCGCAGTGCCGCGCACACCGTGGGAAGCCAAGCCGCCGCGACGCCCTAACCCAACCCTAACCCTAACCGTGAGACGCGGCCCAGATTGGCTGAGGCAGAGCCTGTGCCGCAGAGATTTCCCGCTCTGCCCTGCCCATGCTGTGTCCTCGCTGCCCCGGCCCAGAGTCCACCTTGGCGCTTGGGTGCTCTGTCAGTCAGAACAGAGGGTACCAGCCCGGCTTGGCAGCCCGCACTGTAATCCCAGCACTCTAAAGGCTGAGGCAGGAGGGTCACAAAGTCTGAGTCCAGCCTGGGCAACTTGGTGACTTAGCGAGATCCTATCTCAAAAAAAATACAAAAGGGCTGGGTCTGTGGCTCAGAGTGAAGGCCCCAGGTTCAATTCCCAGTAAACAAAAGCAAAAACAAAACCTGCGGTGTCTCCCTCTCCAGCCAGCGTCACCCTGGAGTCCGCGACGGCCACACCAAGCCTCTCCCGCGGCAGCTGCCGCTCTATGCCGGCCATCGCCAACTCCGCCTGGCTCTCTGTGTGATCCTGGCCCCGCACCCCCCCTCCCCCCAGCTGGCATAATTGTCATGTGGTGAAAAGCAGGCTTTAAACCCCGGGACGTCCCGCCCCACCCGCTGTCACCTAGAACTCGAAATAAAATCCCGACAACAGAATCAGAACTGCTCAGCGCGGCGTTCAAGCGAGAAGGAGCAAGCTCTGGGACAAACGCGCCGTCCGCTCCGCGGGGGCCCAGGCTGCGCTCGTCCTGCAGCTCTGCCGCCAGCCTGCGCTGGGCTCCAGGCGAAGAGCACCAGGAAGGGGAGCTGCGTCCCGAAGAAGCCTCGGCCGGAAATGGCGCGGGCCTGCGCTGGCTGGCGGGAGAGGCCACGTGGCCACATCCACTGCCGCCGACGGAGCTGCTCGGCCGCTCTGCACAAGTCCACGCGTGACCCCACTCTCCCGCTCTTCCCTTCCTGCTCCCCAGCCAGCCCGACCGCGGCGGCTTGGTCTGGCGCGGCCTCGCTCTTCGCGGCACGGCTGTGCCTGGAGCTCCCTCCGCGCCTCTACAGCGGTGGCTCTGCAGGGCTCTGGCCGCTGTGTTTGCACCCACTCTGACTCCGCACGCGCCGCGCGCCTGGCTCCTCTCTGGCCTGCTCTCCTTCCTCCCGACCCACCGTCGCACCCCTGCGTGTGGCATCGTGGTCGCCCGCCGCCCGCTGGACTCCAGGAGAGACCGGCCCAGGACTCTGGTCATCGCCCGGCGCCGGCCCAGTTCTCCGTGCAGGGTCCCAGGCGAGGGTGTACAGAGCACTGGGCCTGCTGCGGCCCCGAGATCAGGCGTGCTGAGGGCAGCGGACTGCAGGTAAATGAGTCTGGAATTTATTGAGCTTCTTCTACAGGCTGGCCCCGCGAAAGCCTTTATGGTCGTCTGATTCAGTGCTTGGGCTGCCAGTCAGAATGCGTGTCTGCGTCCCCTCCTCTGTGGGACCAAAGCTCAGGGGCAGAAACCTCGCCGCAGTTCTGCAGCTGGACGATCGCTTCCAACGGCCTCCCGAGGGCTGGGGGACAGCATGAAGAAGGATAGACTGGCGAGCTGCTGGGGCGGCTCCCCCAACCCCAAGATTAAACCCAAGGCCTCCCCACTGAGCAACATCCCCAGCCCTTTTATATTTTTAAATTTTGAGACAGGGTCTCCCTGAGTTGCCCAGTCTGGGCATGAACTTGCAATCCTCCTGCCTCAGCCTCCTGGAGTGCTGAGCTCATCTTTTCTTTATTTAAATGCATCATGGTAACATTCAGTGCTGTGTATTCCCAGCCAGTTCACCCACAGGATGCTCCAGTCCATGTGCTTCTGTCCCACCGGACCCCACGTGATGCTTGCCTGTTCCCAGGACTGAGTGAAAAAGAGTCACCAGCTCCGCCCATGGTGCCTGGGGCTGCGAGGCCCAGCACACACAATTCTCTGGGCCCGCGGGGAAACAGGCCCACCAGAAGAGACGAGCACCACCTGGGCAGAGACACCACCCTGCACGGAGAGAGGCAGGCCGGGCTGAGGGTCAGGACTGGCCCTAGGAGAGAGCTGAACGTCCGTGCCTGCCCTGAGGCGGGAGCTTCTGAGGCACCAGCTCATCCTGGGCTCCGAGCCCTCTCCAGGAGAGGAGCCAGGAACGCGCACTCAGCGGGAGGCTGCCAGGGGCCTCCCCTGGGGGCCACATGCCCTTGGCACAGAGGAGCTGCCCAGGTCCCAGGACTTCCAGTCTAGAGTCACCAGAGTCAAGCTGGGCGTGGGGGCGCACGCCTGTGATCCCAGCACTCATTTGGGAGGCTGAGGCAGGAAGATCACTGAGACTTTGAGGCCAGCATGAACTACATGGCGAGACTCTGTCAGAAAACCATCGCTGGATCGATCATTTGATTCATCAGCAACGTCCTGGGCAAGTTGTGAGCTGACCAGACTGGTCCCTGAATTGTAAGTACCTTCTCACTCTGAAAGGGACTGGCTCCGTTTTTGTGGCCAGTATTTTCTAACTCCTGATCCTGAAAATTCCAGGCACACAGGTAACTCATAATAAAACAACATGTTAAAACCATTACCCGATATTTTGAGTAAGCAAAATATAGTCTCATTTTACTGGTATTTTAGAAGGATATATTATAATAATTCACAAGTCAGATGTCATTTTAAATTACATTTTAAAATAAATGCCAAGATTCACTGAACTCAATACTTAGGGATTGTAAACTCTTCTTTACTTTGTTACATATTAACATGGATTTTATTTAAGAAATAAAATTTCTGATTTTAGAAGGTTGATATTACTGTTTCATAAGTAATAATGACCATGACCTCAGCAAAGGGTTTAAATATTTAATTTGAACTCAGTCCATCTATTGGCACATAATTATGCAATGGAAGAAGACAGAGGGAAGTTTGTCATTAAAAAATGATGGCATTTTGACAATTACATAATTGAATACTTTAAATTTTAATGCTGTATGTTGCAACCGTTTTATAAAACAAAAGCTGTAATAACTTACTGAAATTGGTTATTGTATGCATCTCTGTATTACTTTTCTTCTTATTTCATCAAAGTCTTAATTTTATTAAAGGATAAGGAAGTGTAAAATAGTAATATGAACTCTACTGTGTAAGACAGTTACACTGAGGCATGGGAGATCCAGACTGGGTGCAAACGGAAGCTACAGTTTGGGTCCTGGAATAGGGCTTGGTTTAAACCTTCACCGCTCTATTGGAAACATGGGAAATTATGTGGCTCCTGGGTGAGTACAGCAGGCCACACGGGGATTTTCACATGTTGGTCGGAAAAGGGAAGTTAGGAATAACTAGGAAAGGAAGCGTGGGGTTCATTGGCCTCGTGCCTTGTAGGTGCGGGAGGGGGACAGAAGGACCCTGTCCCTGACCTTTGGCTACAGCAACAGGGACATGACATCCTCGGAACACGGCCGCGGGGTGGGGGGACACGAGGACCCACAGAAGAGGGGACAGTGGCACCAGCCAGCCCTCCCTGTAAGAGAAAATAAAATGGGGCAGTGCTGGGCTCATGCTCAAGCGTAGCACATCCCTCCTCCTCGCTCCCCCGTGTCCCCACCTCTCTGGGGACTGGCTGCTTTCTGGACAGGAAACACGCTGCAGTGCTGACGTGCTTGAAAACGTCGATGTGAGCACCTGTGATGGTTAATGACACATGTGCCCGTGGCGAGGCCAGGCCCAGGTGCAAGGGCAGACACAGTGGCTGCTACTCTGTCAGTGTGGGCCGTCAGCGGACTTGGGGCAGCAGTGTGCTGCCTACCGTGGTGTCGCACTAGCCGCAGCCCTTGAGGCAAAGACAGGGTTTGAGTTTCCTAGGGAAGGGTACATTGCATCCCCCAGGACTGCAACAGCAACTCGGCTGATTTTCCATGAATCTCACTGCGACCGACCTGTCACCACGGGATCCGGGACCGACCCAACTTGACGGGGAGCTGCACCCCCAGCGAGGGTCTTGGCCAACTCCAGCAAGCAGGGAACAGCAGGGTGGGTTTGCTGTGCTCGGACACGATTTCAAGAAGCCTCATTAGTGAGACAGTGAACGGTGAAGTCCTGCTTCCTGCAGGAACTCTGACCATGATAGGGGTCAGACCACATTTACCTCGTGCAATGCTGCCAGTCCAGGGCAGAGCAGAGTCCTGCAGAACAGGAGACTGGAAGCGGCTCGCTCAAGACCTCCCTGAAGCTGCTCTGCCCATCAGGGTCCTTCGCCTCAGGTCACCGCTGCAGACACATGTGCTCAGGGACAGGGCCGTGTGTGACGGCTTCTGACCTAGTCCAGCAGGAGCTGCGGAGTTAGGTGCTGAGATTTGTTCTTCTTTTCCTCTAGGTTAAATCAGAACCTAGAACACCCTGTGTGTCCTGGGAGAGGACAGCTTCGGGGCCAGCCGGCCGGCTGCAGGTGGCTCCATCCTGCAGCGCTGCCTGCACTCGTGGCCGGGAGCCCCAGGGGCCTGCATGCTCTGGGGAAGCTCGCAGTCCTGTGGGCACCGCCCGCCCATCACGCTCGCGTGGCTGTGTCTGTCGAGCACCGAGCTTCTCCAGGTGCTGGGCCTGGAGCTGGGTGTTTGTCTCAGGCTCGTCACGGGGCGAGGGGCGGGGCCTGGTGCTCACCCGGCTCAGGGCTCTGCCAGTGGCCACACAGGACTGGCCGTGCCCTGAAGATCGGTGCCCTCGAAGGTCCCAGTGCCCCTCCCATGAGGGCTAAAAGTTGAAGCGGTGAAGACGCAGTGGCCCCAGGACACCGCTGGCCAAAGACAGAGCCTGAGCTCCAAACAAAATGCCTTTTTTGTCTTCTTTTGCACTGCAGAATGGAGTTCAGACTGGGTTAGACAGGATCAGCAAGACAGAGGGCAGTGGAATACAGGGCAGTGTTTGAGGACACGGATGAGGCGGGGGGGGGAGGGGCAGGAGCCCTGGGGTCAGTGGCTGAGGGTCCCTGAGGGGGCAGAGGAGAGGACCAGTGCCACCATGGGTGGCATGGACATTCGGCCACAGCTCCCTTGGCCTCCACGGCTTCTGCCGGTACCGGGGCCCCCATGGACCAGAGCCAGGTGGGACCCAGTCAGCCCCCAGGGGAAGGAGCACGGGGCCAGGCGCCAGCTCCGAGGACACTTGGTGGACTGGGCTCTGGAATGCGTCCTCGGAGGAGGGACCCCACCTGGCCCAGAGCCAGTGCCACCTGCGGGAGGAGAAGGGAGCACTCCTGGCCGGCCGTTTGCAAAGAGTGTCCGAGCAGAGCAGGGCACAGAGGGCACCCATGGCCCAGGAGCTCCCCCACGAGGCAGAGGGGCCACCTCAGCCCAGAGTCCCGCCTTCTGGTCCCCACTCCATGGCACGAGCAATCTGTGCCGTCTTAGGTAAAGGCGAACAACCCCCTGGCTGTCCAGACTCAGGGTGCCCGGCTCCCACAGGGCTAACTGGGGACTCGAGGTGACGGAACTGGGGCACCTCTCACTCCAGTGTGAGAACAAAATCAGGCAGTGCTGAAGGGAGCCACTGAACCAACACCCCGCGACCCCCAGTCCTCACGTGACTCACAAGAGGCTGTGGTTCAGACGCCACCCCTGGGGGGCAGACCTCAGGCAGGGTCTGGAGTGCTCCAGGCTGCTCCCTGGGTCACCGAGCAGGTGGACGTGGTCACTGTTTTTCGCCCACCACCCCGCTGCTGTCCCTGTGGTCAGGGCTGGTGACTCCTGGTGGAAGTGAAGGCAACTTTCTGGAACTAGAATTCTGGGCCCATCTGGTCTCAGAACCTGTTGGACAGGTAGGATTAGGTCACAGGAGCCTTCCAGGCGGGCAGGGTGGAGAGGGGAGCTCCAGCTCCCTAGGGCACCAGCCCTGGGCCCCGCACTGCCTGCACTCAGGGCCTTGACTGGCAGGCTGTGCCCACCAGGACTCAGGAGGCCAGGGCACCTGACCTTCCCTGACTCCCGTGCTCAGCTTGGGGAACAGGAAAATCACTGCCAACCTGAGGAGAGCCCGCGCCCCATCTGACTGTGCTGACACGCTCAGCACCACCTCTGATGCCCGGCTCTGACAGGGCTGTGTCCCCAACCCGTCCCCACTCGGCACAGCTGCTGCTGGCGGCCACACGGCTCTGCTGAGGTTGGAAGTGCACAGCTGAGGGTGGGAGATGAGGGCAGAGAGAAGCGGGCTGCTGCACCCTCCTCACAGATCCACCCTCATCCTGGGCTCTGTGAGCTGACCCCGCCTCTGTCCCTCCAGCCCTCCCTGGGCCCTGCTCCTGCCGTGGATGCGCCTTCCTCCTCTTCCTGTGTCCTACACCGGTGGGGCCACTTGCTCTCTCTGTGCCCAGCCCCTGTGCCCCTCCAGTTTCCACCGAGCCAAGCCATCTTCCCCGTGGCCCGACCTACCCAGCAGAGCCGCCGCTGGACATCGCGAAGGGCTCTCACGGCAGAGCCAGCGGGAGGCAGCCGCTTCCGCCACCTGGATTCTGAGAAGGCCCCGGGGTGCAGCGCCTGCCCAGGCCACTGCTCATCTTAATCAAACCACATTGCTCCTCTGCGTGCCGGCTGTGGCTTCTGTAGGATCTCCTCTGTGGCAGGGTTTTCCCTTCCCTCGGATAGCAGTGATATTTGCCGAGAGCATCTAATAGAGCCTGAAATTACCCCGGCTGGTTGTTTACTCTGCTCAAGTGGCATGGGGCTCCAAGCACTGTTTGTCTAGCACTGTCATTACTTTTATTAAGTGAGCCCTTGTGCTTCCAAAGTGAGCAGCAAGCTCTGTAAATATTTCATCAGCTTCTGTAATTAGCCCCTGGATCACACGGCCCAGATGGGAAGTGGGTCAGTGTGACAGTCCCCTGTCATCACCAGTGTGGAGAGAGCCACCAGGACGGAACGTGGACATCGGGCCGGGTGCAGAAGGAGCAGCAGCACTTCCTCCCGGGGAAGCCAGGGACTGCCGGGGACACTCCAGTGACCAGGTGGGCCAGTCATGACCGCGAGAGTAACTGTCCATCCGGTCCTTGGAAACAGAGCGGCGAGCCCCCCCATTCGGGGCTGTGTCCAGGAAGAGATTTAAAAAGGAGGCCAAGGGGAGAGCGCGCAGAGGGTCTGGGACACACAGCCATGCAAGAACAACAGCTCCCTGCCCCGCACTCTGCCCTTCCACAGGGCCAAGCTGCCGCCGACGAGTGGGACCTGTAAATCTCGGTTTTCTTTGTGGTCAGGTATTCGCTGAGTTTTAAACATGCTTTCCAGGGTGGAGAGAGTCCTGAGAGCTGTTAGACCAGTGGATTGGTTGCGAAGCTCCTCCTTTCTGCACCACTTGCCCTTAGCTCTTTGGTTCACTGGGTGATGAAAGGCACATAATAAAGTCTGCTCTCAAATTCTCCAGGGGTCTGGAAGTCTCTGTGGCTTCCTTTGCATGCATGCTCTTCAGTGCATGAGCTTTCTCCAGAATCAGTTTTTTCCTTGCAGACCCTCCAGTCCCATGACGTGAACCTTTTAGAGACGAGCACCCAAACTGCAGTCCAGAACCCACTGACTTATGGCAAAGCGCCACTGCCACAATTGAACCTGAATCCTGAGGTTTTAGTTCAGAAAAAACAACTCATACATTAACATCTCCATCTTGAAAAAACCAAAACAAATAACACGCGTGCCTCGGTTTGCCACCACTGGTCTAGTTCTTTTTCCCTTGAATTACGTCTCACAGCAGTGTCCTTTTACCTGGTGTTAGGATATACACCCGCCTGGTATATCCGGATCAGTAGGACCAGTTTCAACTTCAAAATTGGCTCATCGCTTACTTATTTAGATGCAAATTTTATTGCTTATTTTTTTAACCTGGGACTTCTTATTGTTTTAAAGCAGGATTCAATCTGTTTATGATTATTGGGTTTAAGTGGTATATATATTTTTAGTCATTTTCGTGTTTTCTGTTGAATATGCTTGTTGCTCTTGATTTACATTTTTCCTAGAATGAACTTGATCACTGTTGTTTGTTTTCTACCTAACCCTCCTCTCTCCCACCGCTCCCCAGGCCACAGGTGACACCCACGCCTCTCGTCTGCTGGTGAGTGCTGCCCACCATTATGAGCATACTTAAATCTGTATTTTCAGTTCTTTCTTTTTTTTTTTTTGGTACCGGGGATCGAACTCAGGACCTTACGCTTGTGAGGCAGGCAGTGGAACCACTGAGCTAAATCCCTGGCCCATCCTGTGGCACTTAAACCTGTATTTTCCACTGATACATGCATGTAAATAATGGCCATTCCCTCCCCAAGACTTCCCCAGTACAGTCCCTGTCACCACTCACTGCAGGAGCTTTGGGACCACTGCTCACCAATTATTGCCTTTCCTTCTACTTCTAGTTTGGCTGAGGGAGCCAGTTATGAAATCTAAGCCATTCCCTTCCCTCTTCACGTACTTACCTTCTGTTTTAAAAACTCTCCACTTATACATTGCATTTCCCGATTATATTACCATCTTCCCTTTACCTCTTGTTTGAAAGCACTATTTTTAATTCGTGGTATTTCCATTTGCAGGCTCTGGCACGTGAAGGAGAGGGGCAGATGGCAGCCAGGGGCTCCGGGAGCTCATCCCCTGCTGGTGTGAAGTGAGACCCTAAGGGCAGCAGGGAGCTCACAGCCCAGCAGAGCAGCAAAGTGTGGCACGTTGCTGCTGGTTTTTAGTGTCCCCGAGGATGGCTTTTGGTCACAGAGAATATCCCTGAAAGGTCTATTTTGCCTCAGATTTAATATTTGGTTTACAAACATTACCATTTCTAAAACTGGATTCTTTCTTAAGCTTTTGACTTGTGCTTACTAATGAGAGAAGGGACGGCACCTCCATGTGGAATCGGGCAACTATGGGTTAACTGTGTTGTTGGACAACAATGATTAACGGTGTTATTAGGTGACTTCGGGTGAACTAGGGAACTGTGCTTTTGTAGACCGCACCTGAGCAGCCAAGACAGCTTCTGTAATCTGTCATCAAAGGAGTGGCCCCAGTGGGCTCGGAAAGTCCTGCCAGACTCTGCTCTCCCCCCTCCGCTGCTCTGCTTTGCTATATTCCCAGGGAAGTTCCAATGGAATCAAGCTTCATAGATGTAAAAAGAGGTAGATAAGGAAGCACAAACTTCTATCCGGGCTCTCGAGACTGACAGGAGTCACTCGCTGAGCCACCGGCCTCATTAAAAGCCGCTTTTTGCTCCTATCTTCATGTTAAAGAGTCATCTGCCTGGAGTCCTCACTGGGTCGTGCTTCACTAAGGTCATACTCTCATTTATTATTCTCCCACATCTTCGAAGGGGTCTTTGCATGGTGTGTGGTCTCATGTGTACATATAACTTATGAGACACCCCAATTTTCAAACCCAACTACAAGCATAATATACTGTTTTTCTTTTTCTTGTCATTTGAGACAAGGTCTCTCAGGCTGGCCTTGAACTTGCAGAGATCCTCCTGCCTCAGCTCCCGAGCACAGAAATTACAGGCATCCACCATAATGCCTGGCTTCAGTTTTCTTTGAAATGTTCACTTTTCTGAATTAAATTCAAAAATGTAAATTCTCCTGAGCACAAATAATTTTTATATGTTTAAAATGCTGTATTTATGAATATGTTGATCTAAAGTTATCTCACTGTAATACTTCAGTGTATGAATACTTGTGTTCTAAAAACGGTTCTCAAGCAGAAGCATTAGGCAAAATTTTGCTTCCGTTCACCAACTCTGCATTGAGTGACAAACAGGAACACACCATCTTCCCCAGAATCGTGGGTGAATTAAGTTTGTGAACCAAAGTACTACTATATACCCTAATTCAACCTAGAATTACAAATCTAAAACAAATATTGAATACACATTTTAAATTTGAGTCCAAGATTTTCATTTATTTACCAAATTCTAGTATTACAAATATCTAAATTACCGAATATAAAAGGATTTGCTTTTAATACAACATATTATTCTCTCGAGCCTTTTTTGTTTTGTTTTGTTTTGTTTTGAGACAGGGTCTTACTATGTAGTTCTGGCTGGCCTTGAACTCACTATGTAGAGCTCAGTCTGGCTTCAAACTTGTGGCAATCCTCCTGCCTCAGCCTCCCAAGTGCTGGGGTTACAGGCATGCACCAACACCCCCAGCTATTGTGCCTGTTCTATTTCCCTGGTCCTAAATCTCCCTGCAGCTTCAGGAGTGGCCCGCCGATGAGCCATGTTCTGCTCCTGTGACCAGGGCTGCTTCCTGGCCGAGGCTTTGCCACAGCTGCCCTTTCCTGGGTCCAGAGGACCTTCCCTCTCCCCGCTGTCCTGCCGAGTCTCTCCTTGGCCAATCCAGCATCAAAGCAGCATGTGTGTAGTTTCAGAGGTGTTCCATGGGTTCCGCTTCATGAAGGCATTTTGTCCCAGGCCCAGAGCTCTTGGTGCCGGTTCTCACTCAGATCCGGACCCTGCGCTACGAACTTGAGCTGTCATCACAAGGTCGTGCCCAGGCTGTCAGTCCACTCTGTCCCCTGACCAGGTACCAGGGGAGGCTGACTACAGCCCATGGTCACTTGTGCTCCGTGTCGCTTCCGTGACTGAGTGGACAATGCCAACAGGACCTCGAGGTAGGAAGCGGCCCACCAGCACCACGGTGCACCTGCCCTGCCATCACTGTCCAGCCCGGGGCCTCTGCTGGGCTTCTGCAGGGCTCTCCCTGCAGCTTCTCTCCTGCTGAAGGGAGGGTTGCACAGGAAGCTCAGGGCTGCCTGTGTTCGGGTGCAAGCTCTCCCCAACCCCTGGTCAGTCCTTCCCTCCACCAGCCTGGCCTGGCACACCCTGTTCTCCAGGTCTGGCACATCCTCTCCTTGGGCCTCTCCCCGGGCTAGGCCTTGCCTGCCCATGTGGCCGCATGGACGTGGACACCTCTTCCGGCCAGTGGCTTCCAGCTGCACACTGCCTGCCCATCCTGGGCTCCTGAGTCTGGGGGTCTGCGGTGGTGAATGGGCTGCACCTCGCTCACCCACATTTAACTTCCAAACATCTACCAAACTCTTATTTATGCTGTTTCGTTCCAGTCCCATTGGCCTCCTGTGTTTTTTCGTTTCAAAAATTCATTTGGAATCATTTTGGTGGGTCACAAGAGAGAAATAAATGGTGGCCAGTGCTAGCTGGGTTTACCCACGTGTAGAGTTGATGCACAAGAAGAGTTCTTCCTTGAAGCTGTTCTGAATCCTCTCTCTGTTTTCCTTTATTTTCATCTGGTTTGATGAGGGGACACCTGGTTGACCTCATGTGAGTGAGGATACCTGGGTAGTGTACTTTCTGGTCTTGCCACATTTCAAAGTGGTTTTCTTTTGCCTTGACATAGTAATACTATCTTGAATATGTGCCCAGCTTCAATTTTGTGTTTACTTTATTTTGTTGCTGGCCTTTTTTTCTCAATAGGGTTCCTTGGAAGCTAGAAATATAATTCTGTTCCCAGTTCAGCGAGAAGTCTGGTCCTAATCTGAGCTCTTTTGTGACAAAGAGTGTAAGAGTCTCTTTGTCCCAAGAATGGATAAATGTAGGTATCTAGGGCTTGATTTGGTTTTGTTTCTATTGGTTTTGATGTTGTTTTATTCTGCTTTTTATTCAGCAAGTCTTTAAAATCTGAAGAATTAAGTTGGCTCAGGCTTCTTCCACGATTTCCCTAATTGCCACTCTTCTTTCATATTTATAGATCCTATCATTTGCATTTTAGATTTCCTGAATTTACTCTTTGGATATCTTGTATTTCCCATTCATCTTTTTATTTTCTTTGTCTTATCACCCAGTGTAGTGATATATTAGTTTTTCCACTTGATCTTAAAAACCAGCTAATGTATTCTCAGAAATGTTGGTGCATTCACTGCTCAGGCAGCCATGACAACAACACTGGCTGGTAGCTTAAGCAACATCTGTGTGTTTTCTGCCAGCTCTGGAGGCTGGAAGCCCAAGACCACTGTGCCTCCTGAGTTGGTTTCTCTCTTCCTGGGTGCAGACAGCTAGCTACCTTCTCATCGTGTCTTCTGGGGCCTCTTCTCCGTGCATAGAGAGACAGGGCAGTGCAGAGTGGGAGAGACAGGAAAGGAGAAAGAGAGAGAGAGACAACAAGGATAGAGAACTCTCAGACGTCTCTCAACTGAGGGCCCCACCCTGACAACCTAGTTGAACCTTACCACCTCCAAAAGCAGCTACCTTTGGTGACAGTGCTAGGTATCTCACGTGGCTCTTTGCTTGATTTAAAGCTCAGTAAATGCATGAAAATGAAATTAAATGAGATCTTAGAGGAAAGATAAGGAGGGTGAGTCAGGCCTAATGGTTTCTGGAAACTAGATCTTGTCTCTGCTGCTATAATCCTCTTTCTCACCTGACTCTTCCCAGGCATCACTCTGCCCAGAGCTGAGCATGAATAGAAGGACCTGATCCAAAGAGCTGCTAGATGTTGGCGCAGACCAAAAGCTTTTGCCCAGAACCATCCAAACGTGGCCAGCTGAGTCAGCAAGCAGGAGAGGGCTCTCATACACACAGTTGTAGAGAGAGGCACCAACAAAAGCAGAAAACAAAAACACCAGTGCTTCTTGGATCCTGAGACCTGGAACCCAGAGCTCAGGAAGCTGAGGGCCCGCCCCGTGCCCTCAGGCTGTCACAACCAGACTGCTGCCCCCAGCTGTCCACACCTCAGCTGGAGAGACAGAGACTACAGGAGCGGCAGGCAGGGAAGGGGCACCACGGTCAGTGCAGCACAGGCAGTGCGGCCCGCCAACAGGAAGAACTCAGGCATGAAGCAGGGACAGGAAGGGTGGCCGCGGTCGGTGAGTGCTGTGTCCCCTAGCCCTGCCATCATGCTAGTCGCCTGCGAACTGTTCAGGTGCAGGACCCACCCAGAGTCTGTTGCAAGGGAGGCTTGTTGCAGTGGGTCTCTGGCTGCCCTCACCACGCCCGCTTTGGGTTTGGAGTTGTCCTCTGCCTCTCTACCAGATCTTGAGTGCCTCCCAAGGGCAGCCACCTCCTTGGCCTATGTGACACACAGCACAGGGCCTGGAGGGATTCTTTCCGTCAGTGGCTTTGCCACCTGTGGTGTCCCTGCAGGGTTTTAGAGCAGGCCTTGCTTCTCTCCAGGCCCACTGCCTGGGTGCTTGCATCCCACAGCCGTTCTGTGGGTCTATGAAGGCTAGGCCAGCTGGGCTCTTCCTGCACAGGTCTGAAGAGCAACAGGAAGCCACACAAGCCTTTGACAAATGATCCGCTGAAAAGATGACCCATTCCAACAAAGTCATGTGAACCGCTCTGTCCCAAGAATACTGCACTCATAGTCACAAGAAGAGTGTTAAGAAATGTTAAGAAATGCTTCTCTGTCCCTGGAAAATTCCCTAAGTGCACCTGGATGCCTTTATGAGGTAAATCAAAAATGCAGTGCCTGCTGCTACTGAACACCATCCAACAGAGAGGCAGCTCCTAAAACACAACACTGTGTCCTCCTCCACCTTGTTCACCAGATCTGGCATCAGGAGACTTCTGGCTCCTCCCCAAAGTCAAAATGAGCAGGAAAGGGAAACTTTTTGAATTGAGAGAGGACATGGAGGCAGCCGGGACAGCGCAACTAAAGATGCTCAGAAAGAGGGCTCCAGAGCGGCTGCAGACAGTGACCAGGACGGCGGGATGAGCGCGCTCAAGTGACAGGGAGGATTCCAAGGAGGATTCATGGCCATGTGACTTTCACTGTTATAAGTCTTTGTTTTTTAAATTTAAGCATTCACCATTCTTTGAGCACACTGAAAATAATTTCTGTTGCCATGGTGAGGACAGTTTCTGCAAACCATTCAGGATTTGCTTCTTTTAGGGAAGGGCTATTTCACAAGATTCTGCAGAGTCCGAAGAGTTGGAGTGGCCTCACATTTCACCCACTTTCACTTTGATCCCAAAGCCACCGGTGAGGCGGTATTTCTGTCCCAACCTCACAAGTGGGAAAACTGAGACTTACAGGGGTAAACTGTCAGCACGGGTGAAGCCACATGCTTCTAACCCCAGCAGTCTGAGAGGCTGAGCAAGTTCAAGACCAGCCCGGGCAATTTGGTGACTAATCCAGACCTGATCTCAAAATAAAAAATAAATTTAACAATGAATTTTAAAAGGCTAGGATAAAACTCAGAGCAAAGGCCCTGGGTCCAATCCCAGTACCATCAAATACAAAGTTTAGGAAAGGGTAAGTGTCCTGCATGGAGTCACAGTACGGCTCCAGGAGAGAACTGGCTGGCCCTCTGCATCCTGGGCTCTTCCCGCCATCCCAGGCTGCTCTCAGCAGTGAAAGGGAGAGTGGAGGTCCAGGTGCCAGCTCAGCCTCCTTCCTTTCTCGAGGCACCTGTGCTGGAGAATGGACCGCCCTGGCCCGGCCCTCGCAGGAGAGCCTGAGGCCACCGTGTGTGGCGTGGGTAGCTCCAGAGAACGTGTTTTGACCCATGGCTTCAGAAATTAACGTCTTCTAATCTGGGACTTAGCTTTTGACCTCTAACAAGGAGAGGAAATAAGCAAAGCCAGGCGCCGCCAGCCCTGTGCACAGCAATGGAAGCTCAGCCTAGCACGTTAGCAATTAGGGGCGCTTGTCCATAAAGCACTTAAAAATCCATCTAGACTGTCCAAGTCGGTCCAGGCTCTTTAATCTTGGATAAAGTAAACAAGACTGTTTTGCAGGGTGGTTCCCCCTCTATTTTAAAGTGAAGATATTAGGAGAGGAAGAAAATGAGACATTTAAGGCTGGACCTTCGGACCCCAGTAATGCGGAACAGCTGTGGACGCGGGCGCCTTCTGGTGGTATTCCCGGGCTGCCAGCGCTAGCTCACTCTCCCATGGCCTGAAAACAGCACGTTCCCTGGAGGGATCCCTTGCTTTCCATCTGTGGCCTGGAAACTCCTTAAGGGCAGGGCTCGACTATGACTCTGGACCGTGAATGTGGCTCAGGTCTGGTAGCAGCAGGTTGTGTCCTGCACACAGCGGCCCTGCTCAGCCTGGCCTGGGCAGCCCTCATCAGCCACCAGGCCCTCCTGGCCCCAGAGCCGCTCCTCCCCTCGAGGACTGTGGCTGGGCTCGTGTCTGCCTTTCTGTGTCACTGCCGTCCCTCTCGGCTGCAGGGATACCTCGTGAGGGCCCTTCCTGGCCACCTCAGTCCTTCCTGGCTTAGTGCTCTGCTCCGAGTCCCAGAAGGCGTGGGTTCCCACATGTTTCTGCTTATTTGTTTGATGTCTGTTTTCCCCAACACCCCCATGAAGGGACAGTGGTGTATTCACCTCTGTCCCCAGAGCCTGGCAAGGGCTTCCAGGGGTACTGGGTTGAGCTGAGAACTCAGGCATCCAGAGAACCAGGCTAAGCAAATCTCAGCTTGTTCTCCTATCCCTCAAGACCCTAAAGGACATGCACCCTCGAGCCAGTGCAGCCCGGCGGGAGTCTCCCCCTCCTGCAGTCTCGAGCCCCACCCTGAGTGTGTGAGACACTGAGGTGTGCCTTCAGGGATCATGGGGTTCCTGTCTGGGCACTGAGCACCTACCAGACAGCGAGGTCCTGGGAAGAGGATGTGGCCAGTGACTGGGCAGCTGGCAGGGCCTTGTCCACTTGGGGCAGGCACTCAATGGACCCAGCCACACCCCACTCCTTTTTGTTCTTGCTCAACTGGAAACTGTTCTTCTCCGTGGGGAATTTCCTCAAGTACAGCCCCGTGTGCAGGACAGGTGTGGCCCTGCCAGGCAGCCCAGCCGCTGACCTTTGGACCCCTGGAGAACAAACACTTCCAAGCTGTTGAGGACAGAGGAACAGAGGTGCTCGATCTTGAGGCCCTGACACTTACTCCAGGTGGACAAACGCTGCCAAGGCACCGAATTCCATCCCTGACCCCGGAGATTAGTTTTCGATGTCTGGGAATGCAGTTTCTGGATGATGTGGTAAGTGTATGTTCGATGTTTAGAGACACAGCCAAATTATTTCCCAGAGTGACAGCAGCTTTTAGACGCCTACGAGCACGGTGTGAGGTTCGTTTTCTCCAGATCTTTGCTGGGCTTTGGTTTGTCACTACTTGGTATTTCAGCCACTTAAATATCTGTATAGCGATAAGCCCATGTTTGTGACATGCGTTTCCCTAATGAGTAGTGCTGAGAACATGCACATATTCCCTATCATGTGTACGTTCTCTAGGATGAAATGTCTTTCCCCCCTTTCTGATCAGATTTCTTTTTACTACTGGCAGCTGAGAGCTCTCCATCTATTCTAGATGGGAGTCCTTTTTTAATCATATGGTTTGCAAATATATCCTCATAGTCTCTATGCAGGCACTACATAGAGAAAACACTTTTAATTTTTGTTGTAGTCCATTTATTAATTTTTTCTTTCATGGATCATACTTTTGGTGTCATATCTAAGAACTCTTCATCAGGACCTGGGTTCTAAAAATATTTTCCCTACTTTATCATCTAAAAGTTTTCTAGTTTTACATTTCAAATCTAAAAATATGATTGATTTTGAGTTCACCTTTGCATTGTATATGAAGTTTAAGATAAGACTAATTTTTGTCCAAGGGTATGCAGTTGCTCTGGAGATGTTATTGGGAAGACTGTTTTTCCTCCACTGAGTTGCTTTTACCCCCTCATCCAGGGTTGGCTGCCTGTGCTTACTGAGGGGACCTCTGGACCCTCGGCTTTGCTCTGTTGATCTACATGCTCAACCCTTCACCAATGCCATGCAGTCTTTTGTACTACACCCAAGTCATGTCTCATGGAATAGAGTGAGTCACCCCAGTTGCCTCTTCTTTTTAAAATTCTGGTTCCATTGCCTCTCCACAGAAACTTTAGAATAATCTTGTCATACCTAAGAAAAGCCGTGTTGGCATTTTAGCAGTTAAATTTATATATCAATTGGAGGAAATTTACATCTTTATTATACTGAGGCATTCAGTTTATGAGTATAATAAATCTCTTCATTTATTTAGATCTTAATTTTTTCACCAGTGTTTGGTATTTTCAGAAAACAAGTCCTTCACATATTTTGTTAGATTTATAACCAAGTACTTCAATATTTTTAAGCAATGTAAATAGTACTGCATTTAAAATTCTTATTTCCATGTATCCCTTGCTAATACAGTGTACAGAAGTATGGCTGATCTTTGCGTTAGATTCCTGTATCCGGTGACCCTGCTAAACTTGCCTATTGGTTCCAGAAGTTGCCTTGTAAACTCCTTGCTGCCCTCCCTCTCCGTTTGGAAGTGGTGCCTTCAGCCTCCACCTGAGGCTTCACTGTTCCAGCATCTCTCAGGTGCCAGTCTTCCCCACAGCGATGGGAAGGGTTGACCCAAGGGCGGTATCACATCAACTGTGTGCCTCAGTGCTCAGCACCAACTCGAGGTGATGCCCACGCTTGTGTTCCCAGGCCCACACCCGAGTATCGTCCTTCCAGCCAACTCTACAAGCAAGACCTGCAGTGGTCATGCTCTGTTGGAGACTGACTACAGCTTTGAATAAAACCAGCAGTCAAATCATTTCAAGATCTTGCTTAGAATTCAACAATAGCGTCTCACGACCACCATCTCCGAGCCACAGGTGTCTTGCCGAGCCATCCACCTAGGCCACCTCCCTGCCCCGCTGAGAAAATGAGACTCAGGACTCGCCTACCATGACCAGCTCACGTGAGCCCCCAGGGGACAGCTGCGCCTGGTGCCAGCAAGTGTTCCAAGAATGGAGAGGACCAAGAATGCTCAGCTCCGAGGCGTTCACGCGATTATGTGGGCTGCAGTAGACTGTCAGGATTGAAGTCTTCAGAGTCTCACAGGGAGACAGCAGCAGACACGTGACCCCCAACACCCTGAAGTCGAGTTCTGATTTGGACCTGCTATGTGCTCTCTGGGAGCCACACGGGCCCCTCACCTACACAGCAGTCACAGAAGAGGGGGCGACTCCCACCTGCCCTCACCAGCCAGATGTCAATGGATGGTACTTTTGCACATCAACATTATTATTAAGGTGTCACCAGCTTTAAATGTCACAGCAGGGCCATGCTGACGTACTTTGGCATGGAGGAAAACTTGAAAAGCTGGCAGATGGATACTTTGCTGAGGAAGGATTTTGTGAAATAAATGTAGTTGCTCTTAATTATGCAGCAACTGCAGTTTTTTTCAATTGCTAATAAATATCAGATTTGTGGGCTAAAAATGTATTCTGGGAGCTTGCTTGTTCCATCTGCTTTCCTCCACCTGGTACACTCGAAAGTCATCTAAAATAAGTGAATAAATAAATGAATGTAGTGGGAATTCCATTTCTTGTCTACAGAAGACTTTTCTTTTCTTTTGTGTTAGTCAGCTTTTCATTGTTGGGACAAAATATCCAGCATTCAGAAGTTAAGGGAGGAGAGGTTTATTTTGGTTCACAGTTTGTGAGGTTTCAGGTGAGTCGGCTGGCTCCAAGGCAGAAACATCCTGGTGAAGGAATGCAGTGGGACACGCTGCTCATTCCACAGCAGCTGGGAAGCACAGCAAGAGGGGGCAGGCAGAGAGGAGACCCACCCTTCCACACACCCGGGGTCTGCTGCCAACAAAGGGCTGGCCTCCTGTGGCCCATTCAGCTGGAGACTCCCATGGGTCCACCCCTCAATGATGTCAGTGTCCTCCTGATTCAGTCACCTCCCAGAAACCCCACCTCTGACACTTTTGGGGGACACTTTAGGAAAATATCAGCAAATGTCTGGCACATGTGATTATTTAAGTGGGGACTGTCTTATTTCCTTCTCTCCCATTTGTATGCCCTTCATTCCCTTTTCTTGTCTTATTGCACTGGCCGGAACTTCCAGAACTGTGGTGAGTATGGGAATCTTTGCTGTGTGACATCTTCCAGGAAAATCTTTCAGTCTTGCTCTGATACACACAATGTTAGCTGCAGTTCAGCAGTTCTTAAATTGAGGAAGTTCCCCACTAATCCTAGTTTTCTAAGTCATTATGACAATAGGCCCTGAATATTATCAAATGCCTTTTCTGCATCTATTGATATGATCCTATGATTATATTTCTTTGACCTTTCAATGAAGCAGCCTGTGATCTCTGGAATCAATCTCACTTGACCTGGTTTGGGACTGTACATATGTGTATGTACGTATGTATAGATAGGAGTGTATATAATACATGTTACTCACAATATATATATTGTGAGTAATATGTATTATATTTTCCCACCTATATTCATGAGGGTCTGCATTTTTATTTTGCCAGCACTGTCTTTGTCTGGTTTTGGTATGAAGGTAATACTGGCTCCATAAAATAAGTGGGAAAGTATTCACTTCTCTTCTACTTTCTGAAAGAGATTGTGGAGGAGAATTATTATTAATTCTTTAAACATTTGGGAGCATTCTCCAGAGAATCAGTCTGGGCATGGAGATTTCTTCCTTGGGAGTTTTTTTAAAAAATTATTTTATTGGTACATTTTAGGTGTATAATACGTTTACATTTATCATTGGGTGCTTGCACCTGTACATGATGTATCTTAGTTCTTATTTTTTTCCCCATTACTTGTGCGCCCTTCACCCCCTCCACCCTTCCCTATTTACATAGATTTTGTTTCCATTTTTTTTTTCCTTTGGGGGTTTTTAATATAAATTCAATTTTGTAACTATTATAGGGGTATTCAAATAATCTATTTCATATTAGGTGAATTGTAATGATTTGAAGTTTTTTAAAGAAATCTGTTTTATCTAAGTTGTTAAACTTATCTGTGTAGATTTGTTCAGAGTGTTTCTTTGTTATTCTTTCTATTTCTACAGGGTCTGCAGCATGATATCACTTGTTGCATTCCTGGTGTTAAGAATTAGTGTCTTCCATCTTTCACCCTTTGTTTATCTTGTTAGAGGTTTATTGTTTTTATTGATCTTAACAAAGAAACAAATTTTTGTTTTATTGACTTTTCTCTATTGCTTTTCCACTTTTGATTTCTGCTCTCATTTCCTTCCTTCTGTTTGCTTAAAGTTTATTTTGCTCCTCTTTTTCATTTCCTAATGTGGGAATTTAGACTTTCCCAATATGAGCATCTAATGCCATTAATTTTCCTCTCAGCCTAACTTTAGCTGTAAGTTCTGATATGGTCTGTTTTTATTTTCACTCAGTTCAATGTATTTTTTACTTCCTTTGACCCTCCCTCATTGGCTTGAGGATTATTTATTTAGGGGTTTGTTGTTTAATTTTCAAGTGTTTGGAGTTTTCCAGTTATTTTTGCTACTGATTGGTAATATGTTTCCATTGAGATAACAGAACAAACTCTGTATTGTTTGATTTTTTAAAAGGTGTGTTGAGGTCTACTTTATGACCCACGATTTGTTCTATTTTGGTTTATGGCTCCTGGGCACTTGTGTATAATGGCCATCTTGCTGTCAGTGGACAGAATGTTTTATAAATGTCAATTAGTTGCTCTTGGTTGATGGTGATGTTGAGTTCTTCTCTATCCCTTCTGATTTTCTGTCTAATTATTCTATCTCTGTTGAAAGAGGGAGATTGAAGTCTCAGCGCTATTTGTGGATTTGTCTTACTCTTTTAGTTGTTTCAATTCTGTTTCACACATTTTATAGTTCAGTTTTTTGAGGCATATACATTTAAATTTGACTTGTTCTCAGTCCACAATTTTCTTTGTATGGAGATCATGAGTTCAAGCCCAGCTTGGGGTACACAGAGAGTCCAAGACTAACCTTGGAGTATTTAGCGAGAACTTGTCTCAGAGCACCAATAATAATTTTCTTTGCTCTGAAATCTACTCTTTCTGATGTTAATATAACTACTCTTGACTTTTTATTAATGTTTATGTGATATATTATTTCCATCATTCATTTTCAGCTGCCTATATTCTCAGAGTTAGAGTGAGTTTCTGGTAGATAGCATACATTGGGTCATTTTTTAGAAGTCTATTCTGCAATCTCCAACACTTGGTTGGTTCATTTACATTTAACATAACTGTTAATTTGTTAAGACTTAAATGAATTTTTTCATTTTTGTTTTCTGTTTATTTTCTCTGATTTTATTTCTTTTTTATTCTTGTCTTACTGTGGCTTACGCTCTTTTAGAATTCCATTTCAAATTATCTATAGCATTTTTGAATGTATGCCTTTAGTGCCTTTCTTAAACATAGCAGCTTCTTTTCCTTGTTCTCCTCTCCTTCTCAAACTTCAAGGATGCAACTATTGGATTCTTTGTCATAGTCCTCCATGTCCCTAAGGTGCTATTCATTTTTTAAGCTGATATACTGAGATGTTACTTCTATATTTATTGTTTGTTTGTTTGTTTCGAGGCAGGGTCTTGCTATGTAGTCTAGGCTGGCCTTGAACTCCCTATGTAGCCCAGGTTGGCCTCAAATTCACAGTGATCCTCCTGCCTCAGCCTCTCAAGTGCTGGGATTACAGGTGTGCACCACCACATCCAGTAGGTTGAGATATAATTTATATATCACACAATTCACCCATTTAAAGTATACAATTCAACCACCTTCGGTATAGCTACAAAATTGTGTGCCAACCTCTTCAGTTTTGGAATATTTGCATTCCCTCAAAAAGAAAGATGAAAGGAAAGAAGGAAGGAAAGAAAGGAAGGAAAGGAAAGCAACCCAGCCTGTGTGCCTTAGCCTTTGGCTCCCCATTCTCCACACTCAGCCTGGGCAACCTCTAGTCCATCTGATGGCTCACAGCCTTGCATTTCCAAAAGCACATAAATGGGGTCCTAAAATATGTGCTGCTTTGCGACTGTATCTGTGTGCATCTACGTGTGTGTATAGGCATGTGTATTTATTTGTGCATAATGTATATTACATTTCTATATAATATAAATAGACATATATGCAAGGTAATGTCATTCATTTAAAAAGAAGGAAATCTTGCCATTCGTGACACTATTTTGTCAAATGCTTTTTCTGCATCTACTGAGATGTCCTGTTTTCATCTTTCATTCTGTTAAGGTAGGGAATTCTGTGGGTTGACCTGCATGTGTTGAACCACCCTTTCCTTCCATGGATAAATCTCACTTGGTCGAGATGCATATTATTTTAGTGTATGGTTAGACGTGCCTTATAGTACTTTATTGGAGGTTATTGCCTCTGTGTTCATCCAGGATGTTGGTGTTGGTCCGTCTGTCTGTCTCTGTTTTCCCTCTCTCCCTGGTCACTTTGACTTAGTCACTTTCTCAGTGCTGGGACACAATCACAATACCTGACACCTGCAACTTTGAGGAGGATAGGTTTTTACTCCTCACAGTGTCAGAGGTCTCAGAGCGTGCACGGGTGACAGGATCCAAGGCAGGAAGGGCCTGTGGAGAGAAGCCGCTCCCGTCGTCATGGCAGTCAGGCAGCATGGAGAGAAGGGAGGAGCTGGGGAGGGAGACGCCTCCATCCAGGCCCTGTCTCCTGCCAGCAGGTCAGCTGACCCATTGATAAGGATGGTGCCCATGGTCCAGTCACCTTCCACACACGAGGCTTCGGGGCACCCCAGATCTAAACCATAGCAAGGGTGCCAGGGGTGATGTCTGTAATTTTGGCATCAGAGTGATGCTGGCTTGATAAAATGAATTTGGAAGTGTTTTCTCTTCTATTTTTTGGAAGAGTTGGAGAAGGTCTGGTACTAATTCTTTGAATTGTAGAATTTGCACATGGAACTATCTATTCCTGGGTTTTTCTTTCCTGGGATTTTTTTCATTGCTGATTCCATCTTCTGTTATTGGTCTAGTTGTGTCTTATACTTCTTCTTGATTCAGTTTTGGTAAGTCATGAGAGTTTAGGAGTTTTCTATTTCTCCTTGATTATCCAATTTGTTATAACTGCTCATCATATGATCCTTTTTATTTATGAGGCATATATTGTAATGTCTCCTTTTTTATTTTATTTCTAAGTTTCTTTTTTTTAGTTAGTCTTTTCCAAAAAAACCAACACTGAATGTTATTGATTTTTTCAACTTTCTATTTTCTACTTGATTTACTTCTACCCTAATATGCACCATTTCCTCCCTTCTCCTGACTTTAGACTTAGTTTGTTCTTCTTTTCCTGGTTTCTTGAAGTGGAAAGGGAGGCCATTTACTTGAGCTCTTGCTTCTTGTCAGCATAGGTACGTGTCCTCTCACCTTCCCTGCCTGTGTACTCTGCTGTGGGCCGTGATGTCATGGTGTTTCTCACCGACCTGACCCAGCTGGCCTG